TTACTTCACCTACTCCGTGACACATGTTCCAGTGTCAATAATGGATCAAATTTTGAGAAAGAACGACCTTGTTAACAGCCGTACGTGGAGTAGAGTTTGTCCTGATCGGGACGCCGGACTCCCCCGTCAGTTACTCAACGCCTTACAACAAGTGACAGTTTGTGGTTTCCGCTACACCAGCTAATAACTACTTAACACTCTCGGGGTGTGACAGATCAGAACTAATAACCGGCAGGGTCTGAACCCTATCAGAGACTCATTCATAACTGGCCGGATCTCTGGAGCTTATCAGATATTTCAATATAACGTAACACTATACTATCGGCCCAAGGACGAGGTATGCCGGTTGTCGGTCGTGTTGTGCTCATTATTAGATATGTCACTCTCCATTACTGTGATCGGCTGTCGATGCTAATTATAGTGATAGGGCGGGCTCCTTACATCCCCCCTTGCTCTCAGCAGAGCTAAGGCGGCCCAGAGCATATTCTAGCTACCACTTGGGTGCTGAAGGAAAATTGTCATAACTCAGCAATACATGTTTCAAAACATCTCAAATTTCCAGGGGAGATGAATTAGATGCATATCAGTGCATCTAAATAAAGTTGATGTTGTAATGTTAAGTAGATTAGTTTCTATTATGAAAATAATAATGACATTATTTTTTGTAAAAAATGGAGTTTGCAGAACTATTCCCAAAGTCCAACAGTCACAGTTTTTTGTATACAGCTGCTAACACATACCTTCTAACAGAAACTGGTGAGTTAAATCAAGATTTCCTTTTCTGTCTTTTGAAAAACCATTATTTATGAATATTATTGAGAAATTTTTAGGGTAGCACTTTAGAAATTGGCTTATACCAAAATGTAGCAATCATTTAACAAAATATTCATATCATTTTGGTGTAGAACGGGACATGACGCATCATTTGACATAATTTTTTTCCTTCCTGAAAGGTGGCTATAGTTCTTTAAAATGGTTCAAAGTTTGTACTACAAATTTCTAGCAGGAAAGACACATATTGCCCATTTTCTCCCATCAATCACCATCAATCATGTTGACAGCCACATCAATTAGGTGTTTTAGCACCTCCATGAGAAACAATTACAAGTTATCCACATTTGCATCAGGACTCAGGACCCATTGTCATGCGCAGTTCCATAAGCCAGGGACCGTCACATTGTTGTCTTCACCTTACTTTCAATTCAATAACACTCAAGGAAGTTAGTTGAAAGAGAGAACAGAATATGACACAGTAACTGTTGCAAATGGCAAAAGTCTTCATGAAAGAAGGCTGAATAATATTTATTACGGTGTTATTTTAGCTGGTTTTGCTTAACAATCTATGGCAGTATATGCATAAAGTTTTCTCAGAAAACGGACAGGGAGACTCGGCAGATACCAGGCCTGTTAGATTTAACTATATTAAAGTAGCAAAAATTACATAATGTGTTGTGATGGAATATCATGGGAAGGGCCTTTTTTCTAGTACACATGTATAAGGCTGCATCTAACTAGCCTGGATCCCGGGTTGTTTCCCGTGTGGCCTACACAGGAGGCCAGCTTCTCGGCTTCAGGGTCAACATGCCCCCATATGCATGGCAATTTTACCACAGAGCCTCTCAGTTATGGCCCTGATCACACCTGGCTAACTAGGGGCCTAATGCACTATATACATATAGGTCTTGGTATCGAGGTTACTCCTTGCTTCTACCATGGACATTATTCAGACTGTATAATGTCCTTGCTTCTTCCATGGAGGTAAAATTCTCGGTTGTTTTTTTCCTCCATGCTTCTACCAATGTGACAGAAATGGTGAAAACAAAGCTTCATTGGGGCATGGAGGTACAAATTCAGATCTTTTAACTCCATGATTGGTGTGATGTGTGCCACCATGGAGGTAGAAATACTATAATATTGAACAGTTCAATTGTTCCTCCATGGTGTCAGAAATAGTCTCCACCAGACTCCTTTGCAGGCTGAATAAATTAGTAGAAATCGGCAGAAAACCTAGCCTCCTTCGCAGACTTCTACATCAGTGGCATTTTATTTTTTGGAGGAGGGGGGTGGAGTGACTCGGGTTATGCCGCAGAGCGACGGTTTTAGTATGTTTTTTGGATGCAAAGCATAGCCGCTATGGTGTTCGGAGGAAAATTACTCATAATGATAGTATATTTAATGCCCTTTTGTCAGAAAATCCATAGCAAGTCTCAAGCCACCTCATTTTGATAAATGTCAAGCATGCAGCATTGTACTTGCTTTGAAATAAAATGATTTCCTTCCTGGTTGCGAAAATGCATATAAAAGTGTCATGTATATTTTGGGCAAGTGAAAACTTGGTTTGGGTCAAGTAGAAATGACCAATGTGTATTTGCCCGATAAGGCAAGTGGATTTTTGAAAACGTTTCCACCCCTTGCAAATAGCATGTATATGCTTGATATGACCATTTATTTTGAGTTAAATTTATTTCCCCTTGGGGAAGAGCATTATGATTGCCACCTCATGTCCCTTTTATCTGTAATAATTTTCACTAATGAAGAAAAGGATACTATTAAAAGTAGATGCAATTTCAATCCTTTCTTGAGTGCTACTAGGATGTTTTGAACATTGTGATGCCATCTATTCAGAATACAGTCATACTCCTGCAGTTAGAATACACTTTAAATGCTGTTTTGATATATATCCAATAGTTGGCCTCAAACGTTTTCAACATGGCCAAAATGGACACAAGAATGGGCACAAACATTTGGAATGCATTGAGAATTTTCAGAATGCACTTAGATTAGAATAACTAGGAATATAGAGATTGTCAATCAGACGGCATTCCTGCTGAATTCCTTGTATTTTTACTAATGAAAAAGGGTACTTTCAAAGTTTGTTACAAGGGGATATAGACTTCTTGTTTGTACAAATGATGGCTTTATCAGGCTTTGTTTACAACCCTGGCAAAGATTTGACGACAATAAAATCAAACTAAATCAAATTCATGTACGTATATATGTGTAAAATATTTATGGTATACCTGTTACCACAGACAATGAACATGATTAGTTTGTGGTAAGATTTTGATACATGTAGTATGTTGCCCACCCGAACTGTAACACTTCTAGGTAAAATACAATTGTGATGTATTAGACGAGGACAGCTTTTTACAGCCATTGTGTCTACAGGCAAATGACAAATAAGCAACATACTACAATGTAGTACAGTCATCATATTGGAAGTCGTGCCTGGCAAAACCCACATAATGTCCATGGTAAAACCAATCAGAGGTCAGGACTGCATGTAACATTGTGAATATTACATGTATTGAATTACTAACTTGGTATGTTTATAATTCATTCACAATGTAACATAGGTTACAACAAGTAAAGACGTTTGTAATCTATGCAGTGTGGGATTTCTGATAAAGCTTTTTTTGGAAGAAAATTTATACATAATGCACAATTTTTTTTAACCACCAAGGTCTTTACATGCTGGGTTCAAACAGACTGTGTTTACAGACATTGGTCAATCTACAATTCACCATGATGAAAACAACCAAGGAGCTTTGAAATACTTCTTGAAACAACCAAATTGATACACATTCAGGGTTAGGAGTGATAAAACCGAGGGCATTTATGCTATGCATTATGTATTTTGTGAAACCAAGCAAAATGGTGTTTCTGCAATTTTTTGTATGGTTACAACAAGGTTAATTAAAAGCACTTCAACAATGTTGTTTCTAATGCATTTTTCAAGTTATTGCAGGTTCTTACCCAATGGCCAAGTGTATGGTTTAAACCTCTACCATTAACCTGCAAGTTCCCCAATTTACTGGGAAAATAAAAACTTAGCCAAGTATTGTTACTAAAGTAGACTGAATGGTATGCTTGAGGCACAAAAACATTGACTCCTCTATAGTTCACACAGGCCAACTCCTTAGTTGGTATTTTATATATCCCATTTCCAACCTGGGGAGCCTGGTAGACTTAAATAGTAGTAATATGGTAGACAAACATTGAAAAACAACATGGTGTGTCAACTTAAACTAGATGCTTGCTCTAAGTCCTATATTGTGTTTTACTGCTTTTTCCGAGGGAATGGAAGGAATAATGAATGTGTGAGATTTGAGAAGTTATGAGGGTAGTGTTTTCTTTTTGTTTGGAAATGTGGCAAAGGTGGAGTACAATTTGCGGTACAATGTTCAATGTATATGACTACTTGTTTAAATTCTCAACTTTGTCTATAATTATATAGTATAAAAGCTATTGGTTTTAGTCCCAAGCTGGTAGTCAATGAATACAGCACTTTTTTTTATGTGTATTACACATAAGAGAACAATTCTTCACAATATCAAGAACATTATACTACATGTACATCAAAGCAAGGAGGTTAAATGCAAGGTTGTATTTAACCTCCTTGATCAAAGGGACACATGCACACCTGGGTTTAAAAGTTGTGAAAAGTATTGCTTTCATCAATTTTGTAAAGTGATATTGTTCTTCAACTAAACTGTGAAGGGTGAACAGTTCCTGAGAGTCACAACAATGTTCACACCTAAATTTCCCGCAAAACACGAGACTAGTTACAGCCGGTGTGTCTCAACTTGTGAAACCTGTGCTTTTATCAATTTTGTAAGGCAATATTGTTCTTCAATCTAACTGTAAAGAACGAACACTTCCTGAGATTCACAACTACGTTCACACCTGAATTTCAGACAAAAGAGAAGGTTATCAAATTTAACAATGAGTCTGTCTGGTGTGTGAATGGCTGTCTGGTGTGTCTAGGAATGAACCATATCACATTATAGGTAAAATCTAAAACTGTACACTATAAAAATCTTCAAAACTACATAAGTTTCTTTAAGAATATAATTCAAAAGTTATTTTAGCTACAGGTGACATGTATAGAAACAACCCAAGGCATCAATTTCTCATCCTTACCCCAAAATCAGGTTTGACATTTTACCCCCCCCCCTCCTTTTTTTGGGCCTAATCGTTACCTGCGAATGGATTTGAGCTTCACCTATCATTCTGACTAAAGACTCCGGCCGTGCGGGGAGGTTTCTTACAACCTCCTTGCTCCTTGCAAGCAAGCATGTTGACTGTCATCTGGGTGAAGTACAAGGTAAGAGGCTTTTTTTCACAATATAGTTTAGGCCACACCAATTTGATCTGTTGGTTTTCAGATTTTTTTCTGAAAAAATATGAAGGGACAGGGAAAAAAAGTAAAAATAAAAACAGACCAGGGCACCCTATGATAGCCCCAAAGAGATGATGCTATATAGGAGCTATGAAGTCAACATACCAGGCTAGTTTGTAATTCAAACATAACATTTGAAACCTTTTATCAAAACACTGCATTGATACTAGATAGAAAAATTGTAAGAACTATGATGAGAAGAGACCTCCTTTAATTGCTGGGACCAAAATATGACCATTTTGAAAATGATCCAGAAGATAAAATGTTTTTCTTTTTCTTGCATATCAGAAAAAAATGAAGCGGGCGAATTCTTGAACCAACAAATTAAATTAGTGTGGCCTTACATGACTTTAGAAATCATCTTAGCATGGTAATTCAGTCACCTTTACGCTAGAAGTGGAATGATCCAGATTATGATCTTGATGACTTATACTAGTTATAGGACAAAAATACACACATAATGGCATGTAATTCCTTACTACTTGAAGCATATTCTGAAAATTTCTGTACAAATACTTGGACTAATTTCAATCCTTTCTTGAGTGCTAAAAGAATGTTTCAAAATGCCGTATATATATGATATTCAGAATACAGTCATTCCAACAACATTCCAACCATTCCTGGCAAGAAATCTATGAATTTGAAATACTCCCAAAAATTTCCAAACAAAGTTCAAACAGCTAGGAATATACAAAGAATTCTCATTCAGACAGCATTCTGGATCATTTGGCATTTGTGTGAAGGGTGTTTTTTTTATGTTTTCAGTTCTTTTACAATAATCTTCTTTGAAGAATTGATTGAATTGGGCAATTATCTTGACATTCAAGAGCACAGACATGTCCAATTCAATCAATTCTTCAACTATACTATACTTCCAGTTTTGTGTAACTATACTTTTCAATGTTTAGAAAAATAAGGCCTGAAGGAATGAAGTAACTGCATAACTTATCATTCCAAGACTTAGAAATACATGTACTTCGACAATTACTTTAAAAAAATGAACCAACCAGCCCGGAGTGCTGACAAGTGGCACCTACTGGTACTAGCTATCACAGAATGTCGAAAAGGCCTGTTCTTTTTCTGCAAGTGCCAGCCTCATTGATTTTCTGAAAAAATCTGAGAACCAACAAATCAACTTGGTGTGCCTTTATGCAAATTTCAATTCTTTACCAGGTAATAAATATGTGTTCACATCTTGAACTTGCAAAGAAACAACATACAGTAGAACTTGTGCAGACACTGGTCTGTCAAATAATTAGGCCAAAGCAAATAAGTTTTATGGATGACATCCTCCGCAGACTCGAAATCTAATGCGATAGGATGAAAATTGCAAGGCGGGCCAGAAAAACAAGATTTCTTCCATACTGATGTATCCAACATACATATACAGTGTTCTCAGCAGGTTTTTTGAAATGGAAACGCGCTTGGTGGCTGGGAGAACAAAAGTAATGCAATACCTAACCGCACATAACTGGTAATAAATGTGATGCCATGCTTAACTGCATGTATCCGCTTATAAGCATGACCGCAAGGTAAAAATGACTTAATGTCTACCGCACAACCGCATGTAAACAGCTAATAAGAAATCCATATTTGCCTCAATCACTAATTTTGCAGTCGGGCTCAGTTCTCGGATAAACTGGGCTGTTGTTGCAACGGTGGTACATTTAAGGCTTTCAGAAGGCCAGCAAAAACATGTGAGCCGCTGTGGCTCGATGGACAGCTACGGACATAGAGGGTTGGAACCCTAGTATCGACATTCCTTGTTCAATTTTAATTTTTTTTCTATTTTTAATGTCCGTTGCTTCGCTTTTAACATTCAAGACTAATTGTCAGGAATATCAATAAGTGAAATTTTTACTCTTTTGTATTTTTACACTTCTTGCTTCGTCAATCATGTCTTGGCAAGCTAGCATTGCTACAATTCAAGCCAGCAAGCTGACCAATTATTTGAGTCATTAATAGTGCACACCCATGCCACCCAACCAGCTATTCCCATTTCGGCATCCGGCCAGCTTTTTTTTTAAAGCTTTTTTTGTTTCACAGCATAGGGGTCAGGTACAGAAGGGCAACTTTTGTGTTACAAGTCGCGTATTGAGCCTAAAAGATTTGAAACTCATAACCCCCGAGACACCATTCCTCACAATCTTAAGTTATATTTTCATTTTTTGCAAGATTTATGAAGGTCTCCCCCCCCCCCGAAAAAAAAAATCCCATATGCTGCTTGAAAGACAGCATAGGGGGCCCTGCTCAAAAGGCCCGGCGAGAACACTGTAACAGTTATACTGGATACAGATACTATGTATCTATCTATATTGTATCAACTATTATAACTATTAGTATTACTATTCCATTTGTTACTGAAAATCAATGCATGTGCTGATGTCATCCACAAAAATTACTTGTGGTCTTATGAGAAAATTGTCATAGCTCCCAATAGTCACACTTATTTCTTTTATTCTTTACAATATATGCAATTAACATGTACAGGTAATTACACATTACAAAAAACTTCTACAGTCAGGGCTCTTGAAAACTAAGGGTAATGAATAGTAGCCCTAATGCCTTTACATTTTTCTTAATTTCACAGCAACAAAGGTAACACTTCATGCTGGATAAGTTACAAACAACATCATGGCACTAAAGGTGACTTGTGGCTTTGCACGTGTTGCTGTCCGACAAAGTAAATTGCTGCGAGTTTCTGAGAACGAAAAATCTGCACAGAAACATAGATCAGTATGCCCAACAGTCAGATATGAAGCATTCAACGAGGTCTTTAAAAGTGACACAACTTTGAGTTTTGAGGACTTTTGCAAAAGTGCTTCCCATATCGATAAGGTGATCAATGGCTGGATGGGCTCGAAGACAAATCGAGAAGACAAACTCAAGTTTCTTGATCACTTCAAAATCAACAACTGGAAGAAACTTGGTTCTTCTGAAAAGGCAGAACACACCATGCATGGTCTGTGCAAAGGGTGCTGTACCAATCACAAGCCCTTTTGGAACCTCTACAACAAACAAATCAAGTGCCCTAAAACAAGAAAGGCACTTGAATTTGATGACCTCAACTGCCAGCCAACAACTTTCATGAAGCTGGATGTTGAAGAGGAAGGGGCCAGACAATTATTTCAGCAGGCAGATAAAATCTGTAAGAGGCAGTACAAACGACCCCTGTCAGAAATCCTACCAGAGCTTAACATTACCTCTGCTGAACAGGAAAGAAGCAAAAGAAGGAAAACGATGTGCAAGGCCAGAGAACAAATCCAAAAGGCTGCCAAAAGAAACAACAAAGACTTGGACATTACGTATGGCAGTGGGGAGTCCCTGGGCTCCCGAAGAGTTCGAAGACTGGCAGAAGAGTTTGAAAACAGACATGATGCAGAGGAAAGAACAAAACGAAGAAAGGAAAGGGAGGCAGCTGGAAAGCTGAAGCCAAAAGACAGATTAGGGAACTTTGGCACCCTCTGTAACTTTGACAAGGAGAACCTAAAGGAAGAGGTCTTGGCATATGAAGATGGCAAAGATGTCAACTGGACCCAACTGGCTATCAAACATGGTGTCAGAGGCAAAGATGGAAATGTGCCAGGTAATGCAGGTCAGCTGGTAAAGCTCTGGTTGCAAAGTGAAGGTATCGACACCGACAGATTCAAGGCAAGTTCTACTCACGAAGTACTTCGCAAGGCAAGAATTCGACTAGACAGCGACCCAAAGATCTCAGTGCCAAAGAAAAGAACTGAAAAACAGATAAGTGAGCAACTCAGAGTATGTATCACTGAAGGAGAAGTCCCTATTGGAGAGTTTATCGTCCCCAAGCAATACAAGACATACTTTCTCAATAAAGAGACGAACAGGATAGAAACACAGGTTACAGAGATTGAAGGAAGAAAGCGACCCCTACAAGAAATCAGAGAAGACCTATTAAGGAAACAACAGCCTTTCCTGCGAGAGCCTAGAGACTATGGCAGTATGACAACCGAACAGCTGGTGAAGAGGCTGGAAGAGTTGGGGGAGGAGACAAGTGGAGAATCTGAAGACGAGTTAAGAGAACACTTGTACTCTGTAGAGAACACAAGGTTTGAGTCCTATTGGGAAGATGGGGCTAGTATGGCTAACCACGGACACATCTTGTACCTTGTAGCAACCATCTACGACCCAGCAGTCTTTCTGACTAATGCAGAATACTATCAGAAGTATAAAGTAAAATTGAATGTCCAGGCCATGGTTGAAAGACCAGAGATCTATCTCATAGCACGGTGTGGAGGGTCAGATGCGGAGCAGTTGCTGTATGCCGAGACGAGGAGAGATGACCTCCCAACCCTGTCCCTGCCAGTTGTCAGTTCAGATGGACGCCCCATAAAGGACAGATTAAGGTTTTGCAAGGGCGACCAACCATCCCGCGGGTTTGAGTTTGGAAAACAGCGAGTTGGCTTTTACTCCTGTACGTGCCCGGCTGACATGAGAGCAGTAGATGACTTTTGGAAATGCTGCCATGTTGAAAATCCAGTATCAGACATCAAAGACAGACAAAGCTTCATCATGGAAGGCCCAGTAACATCTCAAAAAGCATCACTAACCATCCCGGATCCATTTCACAGCATGACAAAGGAGGAGCTGCAGGAGGAACTGACATACAGGGGCACGGTTGACTATTCCTCTGCAGAAACAATGACTAAAAAAGCCCTCAGTGACGCCTTCAAGGAAACTTTTCATGGAGTGAAACGAGTGCCAACACTCCTGTACCAGAAGCCCAATCAAAGTGTTGAGGAACTGAACCTACAATATCTTGAAGAAACTGCAAGTGAGCCCATGCATGACTTGTCAAACCACACCAAAAATCTTCTATCAGAGCTACCATCAAGAGTACCAAAAGAAGTGTCTGAAACAATCGACACTGTCAAAGGACATCTCCTTAACAAAGACGTAGTCAGAGCATCAGACCTGCGACTTGCTCTACTTGTCCTATATCAGCAGCTGAAAGAAATCAGCGAAGTGAGTGACCAAACACTCAAGCTCATCGAAACCCTGGCCAACATGCAGCAGCTCTGCTATGCAGATGCAGAGGAACGTTCTATCACATCTGTCTTCAGGATGACAAACCAAATTGTCCTGCACCACCTGCTGATGAAGGAATGCTTGCCTGGACCACCGAAAACAATGACTACTAGGAAACTTTGGGGCCACTACATGCACTCGCTGAGAGATCACATCCCTATCGTGTTCAGGATAGTGGCCACCAGCTCCACCATGGCGGAGAATGAAGAGCGACAGTTCAGTTCTCTCAAGCGGATCACAAAATCGTCAGCAAACTATTCAAAGCCAGGCCACATCATCAAAAATCTGTTCGTCAGAACGCACTATCAACAGAAACTACAACCATCGTCCAGCAACCACCAAATAAACAAGATCTCTCAAGCTGCAAAGGCCATCCCGAAGGAGAGAACAAGGATCCCCATCAACCTCCTCAAGAAGTATCCAAGAGATGCACAGACATACTGTGAGAGGATTTCAGACTTCCTCCTTCCTGGCTATGGAGTACATTGGCACATTGAAGAAGACCATGTTGTTCTCCATGACGCCCCGGATGACAAGCCCAACTCCGTTCACGGCCCAAAGCTCCATCATTTCAGATCAACAACACTGAAGAAGGAACATGCCTACTTGCAACAGAAATGGCAGGAATGCATCCAAAAACAAGTTCCCATGCCACTCAGCATACTGTGGGTGTATGAAGGGCAGAAGCTCATCAAGAAGTTCAAAACACCATACCTTGACCCAGGCTACAGCTTTGAACCACAAGTACATCACAACCTGCCATTCTGTCAAGATGGAGAAGATGAAGTTGATGAAGAGGAGCGCCGATGTGAACCTGAGGCAGAGGGAACTGAATCTGGGGCGGAGGATGACACAGTCGTCGTAAGGATGGAGAGACTCGATCCAGAGCCAGATCTGGAGGAAGTGGGCACATCATCAGAAACCAGGCACATGTAAGTTATCTCTAAAAATTAAAAAGGAAAAAAAATTCAACCTCATACTATTCATACAATTGCCAAGTTACAATTTTTTTTTTAAATGCCCGATGTTTGATGCTAGTACTAGTTGTAAGTTGTTGTAAGTTGTATGTGATGTACATGCTTGATATTTGTAAGTGAACAAGCATTACTGTCTATACATGTACAGGGGATCCTGTGTTACATCCACACCATCCCGAGGCTACAACATACCAGACACACCAGACAGGACACCTTCAAGGGATCTGGATGTTTCTGTGCCAAGTACGCCATGCCACACGGATACGGTCTCTGGGTAAAAAATTATAACTTATTTTGGAAAGGCTTATAACACATTATATATGTGTTTAACATTCTTTGAAGGGCTATACAGCCTATACTGTAGTATAAAATAACTGTTACAGCATCTTTGACAGGATATGAACACTAAAAACTTAACACTCAACAGACAAAAAATTGAAAGCACCAAAAATGTAATAGTGTAGAAAAACAGCTGGTAGAAAATATAAATATCACCCTCCATCAAGTCTGACTACTATTAACCACAGGCCTTTCTATATCCTATGTCCTTGTACTGTAGCATCTCCACTCCAGCCAGAAGCAGCAGCATCTCCACTCCAGCCAGAAGCAGCAGCATCTCCACTCCAGCCAGTAGCAGCTGCATCTCCACTCCAGCCAGTAGCAGCAGCACCATGCTGAACACTGACATTCCAACTCCACCAAACACTCCTATGGTCCCTGGGCAGGACAGAAATAGGTAGGCCTTATTCAAGTTATCGATTCAGTCATTTTTTAGAACAGAATCGAGATGTTCGCCATCTAGACTACTGTAAAGCAGTTTGTAATGATAACTAAATTTGAATGGCTCAAGCAAACTGCTAATTATACAAAAATACAATATAACATCGTTTTTAAGAGGTAGCTGTTCTTCTTAGGACACATGTAACTATTTTACTTTTGTTTCAGGGATGAATCAAAGTGGAAGACAAAGATGGGCAGTGCTTTAGCAGTGGTGCTGGGAGACGTGGCAATTGTCAGGCGCCTGGACAGCCTAAAGGCGAAGTTGAAGACTTCAGGCTCACACAACAACAAGTACATCAAAGTTGAGTATGACACACATATAGCCAAAGTCTCCAGTAGCCTAAGTAAGGTTTTACATGAGGACAGAAAAGAATTCCAGATTTGGGAAAGAAGTTTCATGACAGAGAAAGGCAGGCTTCCAACAGCTATAGATGTCAGAAACAGTGAGGTTGCCTTACCAAAACAAAAGAGGATTAGACTCACAGAGCACCTCCTGAGAAGTTTTGGCGTAAACCTACACATGATGTGACTTTATCTGTGTGTATGATGGCATATACCTGACCTGTAACTTTCTCCTCCCAAACCGCGTTCCAGGCTTGGCGGTATATAAAAGACAGTCTGGTTGGGAAGAGGCCTGACATCCCCTTCCCATAAAAACGCCCTGTATGTCCCAAACCGCGTTCCAGGCTTGGCGGTATACAAAAGACAGTCTGGTTGGGAAGAGGCCTGACATCCCCTTCCCATAAAAACGCCCTGTATGTCCCAAACCGCGTTCCAGGCTTGGCGGTATACAAAAGACAGTCTGGTTGGGAAGAGGCCTGACATCCCCTTCCCATAAAAACGCCCTGTATGTCCCAAACCGCGTTCCAGGCTTGGCGGTATACAAAAGACAGTCTGGTTGGGAAGAGGCCTGACATCCCCTTCCCATAAAAACACCCTGTATGTCCCAAACCGCGTTCCAGGCTTGGCGGTATACAAAAGACAGTCTGGTTGGGAAGAGGCCTGGTTTGTATTTGTAAATATTTTGATGTTCATTTATATACATGCATATTTATTTCTGTGCCTGCAGCTGCAGAAAGAAAAGAAGACCTGCATGACCCAAGTGCTACCATCACCTTTTCAGCAGTGTGGATGTACCTGTGCCTCAGCTTTTGGTCTACAATCACATCTACGGCTGAGAGAGCCTGATAGCTAAACTTATTACAGCAGCCGTGAGTCTCTTTCCTTCTCTCTGCAAATAGCGGAGCGGGGGAAAGAAACTTACTCGACAGCCGTAATAGAGGATATCAGGCTAAGAGATCTAGTACTAGATCTAGATCTAGTAATTAGTACTTTTTGTATCTTTGTATTGTTCCAGTTAAAGTATGCCATGTGGAAACCAAATATATTTCAGCTGAGAATTAATTGGAAAATGTACTTTTTATTTAAAATGTTCTCATCATATGTTATACGATATGTCCTATTTAAATCATGATATCGATACTGACATTAGATATGTTAAACCAGACAATTTCGAGTTGTAAAAATGCGCAGGACATTTAATCAAACATCTGACAAACCACTTGGAGTAAACCCTAGTACAGAAAATCCAGGGGGGATGAAACACCCCTGTAAAAAAAGTCCTAGGGAGCAAACCCTAGCCAAAAAAAGCCAGTGGGAATGGCCCCTGAAACAATATGTAAATGTGACATTTGTGTTAATAATAGCTTGTGATAATAGCTTGTGAACAATAAATGGAAATCACACACGTGACTGCATGGGTCTCTTTTTTGCAGTCAATGGGGAGGGGTAAAAACAAAGACAACCCAATAATTGGGTAATAATTTAGGAATTTTAGTTTCACCTAAAAAATTTTATAATTTGAGGTTTATTGAGGAGGAACTCTCCTTTAGACTCACCTGCTTACTTCACCATCGTCTAAAAATCCATATCCAGTCATTCTGCGGCCATAACTTCCCTGAAAATAGAGGATATGCAAGCGAAATTGTTAAATCCTTTACCAGGCATATTTCTTCATAATATTATACACCAGGAGCTCCATGGTTTTTCAAAGGTGCTTAAAGTTACTACTGCATACTGCAGCTTTCGCACTAACTTTTCATTATTGATTTAACGTTAACGTTACTTACCGAAATTCTAGGCCTTATAGAGACATGTGTAGACATCTTCGGGAATCCTGCAGGCAAGACTACCACCCCCCTCCCACCTCGGCTTATAGCTCAAAAGTCGAAGGTCAATCGGACGAACTTATTAATCAGTGGATAAAGGGGGTGTAGGCTTTCCTGTGTGGGTTGAAAACGCATTCTGCGCAAAGCCTTTGCCAAACTTTGATTAATTGACACGTTGATACTTTGTTGTTATTGACGAAAAATCCCATTTCTTCTCTTTTTTTTAAAGTTTTAGACCATCAATAGAACTTATGAAAAGGGCCTCACCCCCATCGTCGATCCATGGTAGACGTGACCTCCACTTTCCTCCCTCCCGAAACTGGTTTGACGATGTTTTTACAAAGTTAAAATTATATGGCGTTAGTCTTTATGTACTTCACTCTTCTTGTACTGCATTTAAAGTTTATGCTTTGATATGCTGACCAGTTGTTAAAAGGGTCGAAAACTCCTTGTGTAGAATTTGTGGTTTCTGATGACGTAATGCCGATTAGAACACGTTACGTTACCGCAAGGGTTAAAAGTTTTTTTAACCTCCTTGGTAACCGTAACGTGAACATAGAGGTTATATTCTGGTTACTAGTATATTGATGTCACTTACGTCTTCAACCTCATTCACAGTTGTGTATTCTTTACTGTTTGGCACTCAAGTTATTCACACTTTCTTTATTCCCCCATAACGTTAACTACGCAAACAAAGTTATCAAGTGCAAGTTGTTGCAAAACAACGAACGGCAATCTTACCTTCCTTTGGGTCATAGAACAGCACAAAAATCTTGACTAAGTCTTGGCTTGTCCTTTGTTTGCTGGAGGCCATTGGCTTGGAAAAAATCCCGGGGGTCCACCAATTAACTCACCAGGGGAAATTAACGCGCCATTCAGATGTAAAAGAGCGGGCGGGACCGAAGGCGGTGAACTGACACTGAAACTTATGCATATTTAGAAGCAAGTCACTCGCGCCTGGTTCATTACAATATTAAAGTAGCTAATCATAATATTTAAATGAGGTATATGGCCCGGCAGGCCTGGGCCGCCTTAGCTCTGCTGAGCTGTACACAAGCGACGTCCTCGACGCTGCTACGCTCGTATCGGGTTACATCCACCATGTCGCCTTACAACTCGTGTTAGTATATAAATGAATACAAAAATTCAAACGTGGCGGACAAGTTTTTTGGCGTGGCGGAGACGTTTGACGGCGTCGTAAGTGATATATATAATATATAATATATTATAAAAACGTAAAACGATACTGTTTCAGATCATTAAGTTGTCTGATCCGATGACGTGAGGGATGGACAGGGTTGGATCGGTCGCCATGTATACGTAGAGGTCCCAGTCGATGTCCTGAACATAAGGACAGAATAGTCAAAGGCATTCAATGCGATTTCAGGTCGGCAAAACATGAACAGTAATCCTCTTAGTTTAGCAAGCGCTAATGGGCTGCCCTAGACTCTATCCAAGCAACCTTTCATCTTGTATGGGTATTGCAATAAAGCTGATTTTAAACCTCTTAGGCCACACCAATTTAATTTCTAACTGAAATATATCACGGTTGGAAATACTGGACATGCCAAGTACAGGCACGACACGCCTGTCGCATTCTTTCAACACGTAGGGTCTTCGGAAATTAGTCAAATCATACATTGGAAGGACCAGGATCGATTCAGCCATTAAAAAAAACCGAACCGTGCCTGATCTCGGCTAGCCCGAGCATCGCAGAAAATCAGATCCTACAGTTACATCATCTCAACCTGGAACGCTACCTGTTCGAAACACTGATTGGAAACCCTACTTGCTTATTCACTCCTAACTTGAACGAACAAGGTGCCGAAAAGGGTAGAGGTAGGCCTAAGACACGCCTGGGGTGCCAGAAAAGAAGGCGGTTCCGCCTAACAACCCAGAAAAGGCGGTGGAAGCAACCAGCCTCTACTCACATGAGTTTAGAGGTCAAGGATGCAAATGACAACAAACCACGTCATCGTCAAAGGAGCACACGCTACCGTCAAGAAAGGCAGCACCATTTTACGTTCGTAATCACTTCGACAACATTGAGTACATCAGATGTAGATGAATCATTCATCAATTTAAGTAGCGTGTATCTCCTTGCGGTGCTATCTTAATCCAGCACGCTACAGGGTATCCAAAACACATCTTTTCCGTAGCAACCTAACAGTTGTACCACTTACCTCAGGTTTCTATAGTTACTCGCGGCATATCAGGGAGATAAGGACCAGACTCAAGAGTAGTAGAAGGTGCTGAGATCAAGTTCTTCCAAAACATGGAAGGAGAGGATTTTGTCTACATTGACTCAATACGAGGGTTACTAGGATGAAGGGTTACTAGGACCCAGTACATCTTCCTACGCTACTCATGTAGGAATAAACATTTCCATATCCTTTCAGCATCCAAAACAACTCGATCCCCTAACATAAATCACATACTATCCTAGCACTAATGATGGCGACGGTACCATCCTCAGACGGGGTCGCAACTCCCTGGGGGTCACCCACTTAAAACCCCGGCTACCCGCATCAGTTTCGGGACATTAAACAATTTTCGCATTTTAACAAAATACCAAATACAGAAAGGTACATCGTACATCATACCTTGTCGGCCAATCTTGGGGGAACTGGCACTTGGGAGTAAGTCCACATATTAATGTCCACACATGCATTCTAGTCCTTGAATCCCCGGGACCACTCCTCCTAGCGGGGAAGGGGATCCGGGTACGACCGGAGTTCCCACCGTCGCGTCAGCGGCTCATCCCAAGTCAGTTCGAAAGGGGGGTACTGGTGCGACGCGATGCGGCACAGCACGTCGTTCCATCGGGCTCCTAGCGCCGCTGGTCTGAGCTTGTGCCGGACGATGGCCCGCAGCCGGCACATCATGGAGTCCAGGGTGCCGACCCTCTCCCGCAGGGTGTTGATGCGGCGTACTATGTCGAAACGGGGATATGGCCGCCAGGATGAGACGAAGGCCTCCATTGGATGGGACCGGGGATCCGGGACCGGGATGTCTCGGCGGCCCGGAGAGTATTCCCACAGGTAGTTGTGGAGGTCCATGGTTTCGGGGCCCCCGCCTCCTCCCTCTTCAATAGACCCAGCACGCGGCGGAGGCCGCGGATGCTCCTCTCGACTTCTCCCTTCTTGTACCGAAGGTAGGCGTACTCCTGCTCCATCAGGTAGTAGACACCGGGTCGTAGCAATCCTCCCCGACCGTCCTCTCCGGCTCTTTCGCGTCCGGGTCCCAGTTCGCTTCAGACCCTGGCTCTTCTGGGTCCCAGTCCTCCCTCGGCTCAGCCGTTGCCATCCTGATTGTACTTCTCGGTGGTAGATTAGTTTGTTTGTTTATTGGTTCGCATATATTTAAGAACAATAAAATGAACATATTACTGACAATAAAATAAAATGCTGGGGAAAGATATGAAGTCATAGTGGCTTGTCTGGGATCTTCCCCGACAAAATTAATTAACGGTTTCGGTAGTCGGTGGGAGTTGCGGATTGGCTTTCCTCCGATGAATTCTTTGAAAAATATGTTTAGACGGTGGTGAAACTGACGGGCTGCTGTCACTGGATTGCAGCGAAGCCAGTTGCATTTCTCCTGCCATGGCATGCTCTTCACGTCATCATCAGTCAGATGTTTTCCACACTGACGGGCGATGCTCTGTATTACTTCTGGCCACTGCATGTCCACAGCTGACAGTGTGCAGTGTACACCACAGAACGTCTAAAATCTAGTACTACACAGGGAAAAATTTTCTTACCTAAATCCCCGAAGTTCTCCCAGTTTGAGGCAACTGTTGTGGAGAAAAGTCGGGTAGAACAAACACGGCAAGGTTTCTTTACGAGCTCTACGAGCCGCCGGAATGCGGACCGTACCACTCCTCCCGCCACTGACGGACGGGGGTGAGGGTACAAAAATGCCTTCCAAACACTACAAAAATCACAAAAATTATACAGAACGGACGGCACAAACCTCCTCTGCTTGCGTACCGAAGGGGGTTCAGATCCCTCCAGGCAAAACAGAGAAAAACGACGGTCAAAGATTCACCGTAGAACTAGACCCCCGGGCTGGCGGGCACTAGCGGCGCGTCACACGGAGGACCTGCCCGTGGAGAGGGTACAGTCTCAGGAAAACCGCGATAACTCCACGAAACAAGGTCGCACAGAGACAGACAAAAGACCAGACAGATCCTGGGGCACCCAGCTAACCCACTATACTAAAACCTGGCCTTGTTTCCAACCCCTACCATCCGAAAATGGCTGAGAAAGGAGACACGACCCGGAGCGTGTGCCAGATGCGTCTGAACGCTGCGCACGCGCACTTGATCATTAAAAAGTTCCTCTCCGGGGATCGAATTCTCAGTGTCCAAACCCCGCCACGTGCACTAAGAAAATAAAAGAAATCTTGAACATACATTATGGATCACTGCGGTGGTTTCTGTTTTTTTCTTGTAAATGTAGTTCTTCTCTGGAGTGTTGACTGTGTTGTTGCCTGGTGAAGACTTGTGGTTGGGACCTTCCCTTGTGATGTTGAGCTGTTCAGCAGGTGTAGTTGGGGTGCGGGTGAGACATGCTTTGTGCACAGAACTCAGGAAAGATCCTGTCTTGTGAGCGGCTTGTTCTCACTTTCATACTTAATGGTCCTTTCTGGATGAACCCTTTTTTGTCAGTTTATTCTTAGTGTCCTACCGTCCCAATAAAATTGTGTTGAGCAAGTTATTATTAACTACTACTACGTAGTTCAGATTTTGTATCTGCCTAAAAAGCTTACCTTATGCATTGTAGGAAGTAATCCGCATATTCATGCAGTGTGTACAAAAAATCAAATGCAAGAACAAGAGTTCAATATGATTATATTATATTCAAAACACTTCATCAAAGACAGACTGAAAGTGCAAACGGTCACTAACAGGATTATACAGAACAGTACAGTAAGTCTTTTTCGAGACGGTTCGGAAATGTTGCGACATAGCTATTGCCTTTGATGAACATGCTGACCACCTTACCATGTATGTCGCTGAACTTTACAGCAGCATAGTTTTCTGACGGTCTACTTTTGGAAATGTGGGGTACAGGATACAACGGATTTGAATTCTCCAGATCCCCATCGGTGCGAGCAACACGAACAGAAACCTGTACAATTGCAAAATGTCTGGAAGCCACTTAGCCACACTGACAGCTTCTTTTGTCAACGCTACAGCCACATGTCCTGGCAGACGCTTGCATGAAGTACAACACTTCACCATAACAGATCATATGGTTTGAAACAAAAGCAACAGTGTAAGAATTCTGCCTTACAGATCTTGAATACAAGCGAGAGTGGAACATATCTCCTTCCTTCATCATTCAGAAAAAAAAGAGAAATACTTAAGTGATGTAAATATCTTAATGAAAAGTTCAGAGAAGTTGTTACTGGAGATTCTGTAAGAGTAGGAGTCCAGAAAGGAGTCCACGCCACACAAAAATATACCAAGCTCTTGCCTGCATCTATTCACATGCCCTGTTGGTGATGAATCTGAAATGAATAAAATGATTTTAAAATATGCCTACACCTATTGAATTCTTTTGATGAATATATATATATATATATATATATATATATATAT